ACTTTCTGAAATGGAAACGATGAGTATTGATACATGGAATTATCTAAGCTTCTGGTACTTATCAATTCTTTCTTTTGAACGTGGTTGGAGTGTAAAATGAATTCCATTGTTTTCTATATGGATAACCAATGATCACAGTAATTTTCTAAATGAAGTAGCCCATCCTTTCCATCTGATCTAATAAATCTACCTTGGCATAAATAAATTTTGCTGATATGTGTAAGTCTGTTTTTCTAATCATTTGCTTGTGCTACTGGCCTATTTGTCTATCTTTGAGATTATGCCATGTAATTAGTACTCTTAATTGGTATTGATTTGAAATAAGTCCTCATATCTACTAAGTGAAAGCACCTTGATGCTTTCCTTGGCATTCACTCTTCCTCAAGATATTTTTGATTCAGTGTGTTCCATTATGCCCCCAAACTCTGGTGGAGCTTTGGTTTGTATTAAAATGCATTTGTGGAAGACTTAAACCTTCACCATATTTATTTTTTCTATCGAGAGTAAAATATTCCTCTACATTTATTTTTGGCCTTCTGTTACATCTTTCAATAAACATTCATAATTTTCTATATAAAAGGCTCACAATGGTAGTGTTATTCTTTGTTCTTATATTTTTGTGTCTATGTTAAGTGCTACTCTTTTAAAGACTGCACACTGCATATGTATATATTGTCTATTTTGATTTATTACAAAGATAGCTACGCACTTTCAGTGTTCTGCATTAAGATGTAAACTGCACACAAGTCATCACTCCCCAAAATGAATGCTTCTTCAATCTATCAGATACTTGAAGCCACAAAGCAAACTGGAGAAAGGGGTAAATGCATAAAATCAGAAATTTCCAATACCAATAGCCCCCAAAGCCAGGAAATGGATAGGACACTTGAATAGAAGCCTGGAGGAGCTTGAGAATTCAAAACACCCAGGGACAAAGCATAGGGGCTCCTCAACACACTCATGAGCTTTGCCTCTAAAAGCCCCATCAGGTTCGAAGTGAAGACCATTTGAGTAAAGGGAGGAAGGATGGCCAGGCTCTTCAAATACATACAGGGTAGGGATGAATCTCCATAATGAAGCCTGCCTTCGAAGAAAACTATTTTTTCAGAGCCTTATCTGATCTAGGTGAAAAGCAATTAAACTAGGCAGCTATCTCTATCCTTTCTGTCCCACCAAAAGGAAGAGGGAAGGCGGCAAAGAGGGAACATTTTTGAAGGTCAAAGCCCAGAGAGTCAGGCTCACTAGAAAGAGATTTAATCATAAGATTACAGATTGCTTCTGAAAATTACAGAACCCTAAAGAAAGAACCAAAGAAGACCTTAGAAGATGGAAAGATCTACCTTGCTCTTGGATAGACAGAATTAATATTATCAAAATGACCATACTACCAAAAGCACTCACAGATTTAATGTAATTCCAATCAAAATTTCAATGACATTCCTCATAGAAATAGAAAAAGCAATCATGAAATTCATCTAGAAAAATAAGAGACTCAGAATAGCTAAAGCAATCCATAGCAGGAAGAGTGAAGCAGGTGGCATCACTATACCAGACCTTAAACTATACTACAGAGCAATAGTAACAAAAAGAGCATGGTATTGGCACCAAATCATACTGGTAGACCAAGTACAGAATAGAGGACACAGAGACTAACCCACAAAACTACAATTATATTAGACAAAGGTGTCAATACCATGCATTGGAGAAAAGATAGCCTCTTCAACAAATGGCGCTAGGAAAACTGGAAATCCATGTGCAAAAAAATGAAATTAAACCCCCATTCTCTCACCATGCTCAAAATTCAACTCAAAATGGAAAAAGGATTTAGGAATACAACCAGAGACATTGCGTCTTATTAGAAGAAAAAGTAGGCCCTAACCTCTATCATGTGGGATTAGGCCCCAACTTCCTTAATAAGACTCCCTTGGTGCAATAATTAAAATCAAGAATCAATAAATGGGATGGACTCAAACTAAAATGATTCTTCTCAGCAAAAGAAACAATCTTGTGAGGTGAATAAAGAGCCTACATCTTGGGAGCAAATCTTTACCTCTCACACATCAGATAGAGCACTAATCACTAGGGAATATAAAGAACTAAAAAAAAAATAGACACCAAAAACCCAAATAACCCAATCAATAAATGGGCCAAGGACCTGAAGAGACACTTCTCAGAGGATGATGTACAATCAATCAACATATACATGAAAAAATGTTCATCATCATTAGCCATTAGAGAAATGCAAATCAAAACTACTCTAAGATTTCATCTCACTCCTGTCAGAATGGTAGCTAGTACGCATACAAACAATAATAAGTGTTGGCGAAGATATGGGGGAAAAGGTACACTCATACACTGCTGTGGGACTGAAAATTGATACAACCAATATGGAAAGCAGGTTGAAGATTTCTTGGAGAATTGGGAATGGAACCACTATTTGACCCAACTGTTCCTCTCCTCGGTCTATACCCAAAGGACTTAAAAACAGCATACTACAGGGACACAGTCACATCAATGTTTATAGCAGCACAATTCATAATAGCTAAATTTTGGAACCAACCTAGATGCCCTTCAATAGATGAATGGATAAAAAATGTGGCATATATACACAATGGAATATTACTCAGCAATAAAAGAGAATAAAATTATGGCATTTGCAGGTAAATGGAAGGAGTTAGAGAATATAATGCTAAGTGAAGTTAGCCAATGCAAAAAAACCAAATGCTGAATGTTTTCTTTGATATAAGGAGGCTGATTCATAGTGGAATATTGAGCGGGAGCATGGGAGGAATAGATGAACTCTAGATATGGCAGAAGGTTTGGAAGGGAAGGGAGGGAGTATGGGGTAATTAATGATGGTGGAGTGTGATGATCATTATTATGCAAAATACATGTATGAAGAAACGAATTGGTGTGAATATACTATGTATAAAACCAGAGATATGAAAAATTGTGCTCTATATGTAATAAGAATTGTAATACATTCTGCTATCATACATAAATAAAAAAATTACATAAAAAAGAAAAAATTAGTAGAGACATTAAAAATAGAAAGACAAAAAGAGAATACCAAAGAAATTCAGCTACAGAAATATTATAAACAACCTAGCTCCTACACAGATAAACATAAAACATCTCATAAAGGATTATTTATCCTGTTTCTGTTGTTTAATACATTATGCACAACTTTCAACAAAAAACTATAAGCTTGCTAAAAGTCAAATGAAAACATAAGAGAGGAAATATGCATCAGAATAAAACTAAGATATAGCAGAAATTTTAGAATTATCAAATAATGTATTAAAAATAACTAATCAATATGATAAAGGATTCTAATGGCAGAAATAGGCAACATAAAGAAAACATATAGGTAATATAAGTAGGGTCAGACACTCTAAGAATAAAGAAAAATGCTAGACATAAAATAACATGTGCTGTCAACAAATAAAGAATTATTTTCATGTGATGGGCTTACTAGATTGAACATGGTCAAGAAAATAATCAGTTGAGCTTGAAGATATATGTCAATGGAAACTCCCCAATAGAAAAGCAAAGAAAAAATAATTAAAAACAGAGCAGAATATCTAAGAACTGTGAGATATAAGGCATATAATGAAAATACCAGAAGAGGAAAGAAAAGAACATAAGTAATTCATTACTGAGACTGTCCTAAAAGTAATGACAGACCAAATCACAGATTCCCAAAACTTAGAGAACATGAAAAGGGATAAGTATTTTAAAAAAGGATAATCATTTTAAAAATCTTCATAATACGTTCTTAATATTTTATGGAAGTTCAGATTACAGAGATGGTAGAACAAGTTTGTGAATTTTAAAAAAATCCTATAAACAAATTTCAATACTGGTAATACCAACTTTATGGGCTTGACCCAAAGCTGTTTTGTCTTTGATTTGTCTTACCTGCAGAAATACTTTCAACAGTTTGCATAAAACGATAATTCAGGGTTATGCTATTTGGGAAGACAGCATAGAATATAAAGTAACATGAAAAGTGTTCCCAAAATAACCAAAGTTAATTCAAATGGCACATTCCAATTATACAGACAAAATGTATACTGAATTTTAAATTTTATGTTTTAAGCACATGCATATGAGGAGTTTTTTTTACACAAAGAATTTAACTGTAAAGTTCTCTAACCATGTAATTTGATGGTGATGTTTCTTTACATTTCCTCTCCATTTTTCCTGCCCATTGCTCTAACAATCCTTTCTCTTTGTGCAGGTCTTGGCTAAAAGTCATTGTAGTAAGAGACCTCCTTGGTTTTCAAAGATGAACTGGATGACCCTGGTTTCCATTTCCTTTGCATCCAGTCCATACTTTTCATAAAGGTATCACATTCACATAATTATGCACGTGAAATTATAATTTCACATGACTGTAAATTCCTGAAGACAAACAGGGTTCCCATGTTTTGCTATATCCCCAGGGCCTAGCACTGTTCTTTGTTCATACTGAAACTCAATAAGCAGTTGTTCAATGAACAGGTGAACAAAGATGAACTTCTCCACTGGAAGCAACAGTCACTCTAGGTTGGAAGGCACTTTACATCATTGAAAACAATGCAAAAGCAAGATCCCCTAGAGCCATTACCAAAAGGATAAAAAGCAAAATGGTTAAATTGATACTAAAAGATTATTAATAGATTCAGAGACATTGTGCTTAAATAGTAATTACTTAAATATTTAATTACTTTTTAGATTATGTGTGTTTGTCAGATATTATAATATTTCTGAAAGTCCCTCAGAATACTGGCATTCATTCAAAACCTAAAAAAATGGTATGCTAAAGAGAGCAAGTGTTTCCAAGAAGGTCCATTCCATTCCCCAAATGGGCAATCTCTTCTCAATTGCAGTTTTAAATTCCTAATGATAACATCATATCACTATTTGTTAACATGTAGTTCACGCTCAGAAAATATCAAACAAAATGTAAGAAAAAAAATCACAGTGAAAAGAAAATTCCTCTTCAATTCTCATACCTGTAAGTGATGTGTTTGTGCTGCCACTTCTGTCCTGTTAATGCATATCGCTTTCTACGAATGTTAAATTTGGAGCTACCTCTTGTCTGGTCAGGTACACCACATCGAGGCTTCTTCATCCAGCTGCAAAAAGCATGATATTTTGGTTACTTACCAGCAATCATGATTATTAATTTCAAAAGGAAATTGATTAAGAAGTTAATGTGAGATGGTGGTAATGAAAATGCAAACCATAAACTAAAGGGTTTAAACTAAATTATCCTTGCAATTGGAATCAATGTAACACATTTTGGGGGGAAAGATCAAAAATCACTAATTTACTACTTATATCTTTTAGATAATTTTCCTCTCTCTAATTCACTTTGAGCTAACTGTAGAATGAAGTAGAACCTGCTATTAAAAGTTGTATAATATTGACAATCAATCATTAGTCCATTGTGTCACTCTTAATATAATACTAAGGTATCCCCCAATTTTAATATCAATAATTTTTAAAATCTATTACATGATTTTAAAATTCCAGGAAATAATAGGTATATGTTCGTCTACTCTAACTTAAATAGCAATGAATTTTTTTGTTCAAATAACATTCGCATTTCTTCAATTTTTCTTATCCACTTTTGATCATTGTTCTAATTTCCCAATGGCAGCCATTTACTCTGAATCTTTAATAACAAATTCAATTCTTAAAAATATTTTTCCAAATATGAGGGTTAACATCACAAGAACAAGGTTGAACATTTGTATTTGAACATTAAATGCTGCTTTCAATTTGTTACTTTGAATACTTATTCAGAAATTGTAGTTTAGCTTCTTTTCTATAGTCTTATTTGACTATTGAAATGTTTTCTATCTATTCTCAAGTCTTGTTTAAGGAGAAAGATTTTCACGGCTTTGAGTAGTTTTCCTTTAGTGGCTTACAAAATGGTTTTCCTGTTCATTGACCCTTTTAATAACTACAAAGCCAATGCTGAATATTTATGGTAATATATGATTCACAAAGTGGAAATGAATCAGTTTTTGCTATATTTTGTCAGGTGCTTAACAATTTCTATACTTTTTACAGAAATTACTACCTAAAGGTGCTCATTTTGTAAAAATGAATTAGTTTATTTGCTACTTGGATAAATCAGTTAACTCGCTTTTATAAACATAAGAATAACTTCATGTACCAATGAAATAATGACTTGTACTTCTTAAGAAACTTGATACTTTTTTTCTGCGTTTTTATTCTGACTCCAGTAACATAGAAATTGTAGTCATAGGATTTAAGAAATGCCATACAAGTTTAAATGGATTATAGTTACTTTGCAAAATCACTCTCTCCCAATCAAATGAGATGTCTTACAAATGGTAACTCTTGGGAGGCCATCATGTTCTATGGTATTGAACTTTCTGGAGGTGAGAATGGATACCTTTTATTTTTACTAACTGTCTAGGACATTCCCAAACCCACTGAGTTGTAGAGATATTTCACTTGGCTGGAAAACATTTAAGGCAGAGGATCTACACATTCCCAGTATCTTGTGCAATGCCTAGCATATAAGAGATATTCAGTGAATATTCAATGCATAGATGAATAGGGACACAGTGATTTTTAAATTAAAAAAATGGTTATTTTTAATGCATTTTTAAGATCTAAATACAGATTTAATTAACAAATATTAAGCATTAATGATGTATCTATAATGATTTAAGTTACTCTTATATATGAATATTTCACCAATTATATCCTCAAAAAATATATAATTTTCTTAAGATAGGTACTTATAATTATTTATCTAACTGAAAGTACTAGGAAATAAATTAGATATAATTATAAAAGATGAATACATTTACTTAATGTGGGATATGGTGACAGCTAAGGATAATATTTAAATAAATGCCTGGGAAGAGAAATAATTTTGAATAAAATTGACAAAATAAAATTAACTTTATCAAGATAAAGTACACTTTCAAATAGGGTATATTTTTAAAAATTACTTTAATATACATAATATTAAAAATGAAGACAATGATTTAAAATTTAATAATTTAAACTTTCATTTAAATTCATGCATATGATAGAGACTTTAGTTTTCTCAGTGAAGTATGAACATATTCCAAAGGACAGAATTTTTAGGATTGAATACTGAATTCCTATGCTAAAATATATCTCTGCTGAATTCCTAATGTATTTCTTACGATTGTGCCCATAAAACTTTTATGTTCCTGTGTTCTGACTATTTCTTCATCCATTTACTTATTTCATCCTGCTTTATATTTTTGAGTTTTTACAACTTACTAAGATATGTGGAAGATGAAAGAATGGGTAAAAAGATGAACAAGGCAGGACTCCTTTCCTTGCTAAGATCCTAATTTATAGAGAAGATGCATGACAAGAAATTAAAATAGTCAGCCCAACATATCCGTGGGTTCTATAACTGCAGATTCAATAACTTCATTATTGAAAGTATTTGAAAAAACTTGCATCTATACAAACATGTACAGATTTTTTTGCCATTTTTCCATTTTTTTATTATTCCATAAAAAATAGTCTAACAACTGCTCACATTGTACACACATTGTATTAGGTATTATAAGTAATATAGGGATTATTTAAAGTATACAAGAAGATATGTGTAGGTTATGTGCAGAGGACTTGAGTATCTGCAGATTTTGGTATCTGCAGGGGTTCTAGAAGCAACTCCCCCAATGGATTCTAACAGTGAGCTGGAATAAGTGCTCTCACATCTCCAGGTAGATTCCTGATTGTGAACAGGAAATATTACACATAATGAAAATAAAAATCATAATCTTTCCCCCAAAACTTGAACCAATGTCATCTGAACCAATCAATGTCATCTGAACATCTCTAATGCCCATGCCAGATTTTCATAGTATCATCCTCCACTATTCTCTCCTCACACACAATCAATCATAATGTTGTCTATTCTGCCTTCAAATATCTCTTCAATCTCTCACTGTCATCACTGCCTTCTTTCTCACTGCTAATGACATCTGTCTTCTTGCCTTTGTTTTCTGTGACCTCTATCTGGAATAACTTTTTCTCCTTACTAACACTAAGAACCCAAGCCACTTTTCATATTCATCTCACATAGGGACAGTTCACTACCCCAATGCCACAGATACTGCACTATGCATTCTGATTCGAATTTATCTGACTCTATCTTCAACTGACCTGTGAATGGAGGGAAGGAACCCAGCATGAGGACAGTGCTCAATGAAATCTCCCATAAGCAATAGGAAGTAAATAAACTAAGTCTACATGTTTTTTTGAAGATATTGATCTCCCCAATATCCTGCATGTTTCTTGAAAACATTATAACTCTTTCCAGCTCTGTATCTTCAAAAAATTCTTACTACATGGACATAACATGAACACTTTTACATAAGTCATCTACTTCAAGATTTAGCTTTAAGTGCTAAAAATAAACAAAATATTATGAAAAAATAAATACAACAGTAGGCATAATCCAACATCAAGTAACAATGCAAAGAACTTTTTTTAAAAAATGTTTTTAGATACACATGGACACAATATTTTTATTTTGTTATTTATTTATTTATTTTAAGCTATTTTAAAAAAATATTTTGTTTATTTAGTTGTAGTTGGACCCAATACATTTGAACCCAGGGCCTCGCATGTGCTAGACAAGCGCTCTGCCACTGAGCCACAACACCAGCTCGTAACAGTGCAAAGAACTTTTAATGCAAGTTGGTCAAGTTGAGAATATTCTGTTAAATTCACCAGCATCTATACCCAATATTTGTAGCATATATACACTTGTTAAATCCCATATATTCGTATACATAAAAGAAGCAGGACTTAATATGTTGCATATATACATATATGTGTGTGTATCTATACACATACACACACACACACGTGTGTACATATTTATTTATTCATTACCAGCTAATAACTATCAAAATCTGACTATCACGTTTTCTATGTTATTTTTAGACAGTGCTTATTTGTGAAAAGTGTCTTTGATCAAACACACTTAATTTTTCTGTGTGGCAATATATAGCTCATGAATGTGTGCTCCTTTACTGACTCACTAGAGGAATTTTAATTTAGTCTTCCAAAGCAAAGACATGGGGAAGGGACACTGGGAGGAGAGTGTGAGCAATGAGAAAGGCATTTTGTAATATCAAGGTGTAAATAATGGAACAACCCCAATTTTCATAAATATCATGCTGATTTGCAATATTGACTATGGTTTCAAAACCCATGCACTTTTAACTATTGGACAGATCATTAATGTCATTTAAAATCATTTAAATTAACTCAAAAACAAAAAAAAAAATCAGTGTTTTGAGAGGAGTGTAAAAGTTGAGAGCAGTGATTCTGATTATACTCTGGGTGTCATTCTGCTTCTGCAGACTCACTACTCCTGTTACATCAGTCAGATTTCCGTTTCATTTTATGACTCGGTTTCCTCATCTATGTAGGGGAGATGATAATATTACCACCTTTACTGAGTTACTGTAAGGATCAAAGTAGTTAAATCATGTAAAACACTGAGAATAGTGTCTAACAGATAATAACTGCTATCATTACTTTATAATAATTATTGTGAATTTACAAATATCAGAAGGTAGACATATTAATAGCAATACAAAGAGCAGCAAGAGTAGCTGTATACAAAAAACAACATGTTTTGGCTCACTTTAACCTGTAAGTTAATACACAGCATTTTATGTTAGGCAAAACAGGGATCTTCCTGGTACTTTGATTATAGAGATAGGGACATCTACACTTTCCTGTTTTATGTAAGTAAAATAGCCATAAGCGCTAAACACATTTGTACATTTATAGTATATGTACAGATATATTGCATATGGAGTGTCCGTTAATTTCAATAAAAATTTTTCTTTTTTAATGAATTGGAGTTCCATGAAAATACTGAAGGCCATTCACAGCATGGCTACAGGAGGAGACTGGGAGTTGCAGTCCGTGTACCTGGTGGCCCTGCAGTGGTGCTGCACTCGGTGCAGCACTGAGTACACTGGAAAGGCCACCATTGCAACTGGAATTGTACTACACAGCAGGTCAGTGTACATATCCTTATCTTTACCAAGAGAAAAAAAAATAACTTACCAAATCATGTTTTGTTCTTTATCAATAACTACTCTAAGAAAAATAATAGGTTAGACATGTTTTCATCAGATTTCCCAAATTTTAATGAAAGGTAAGAATAATATCTTCTGCTTCTAGTTCTTCCTTAGATGTTTCTAGAAATGTTTAAATATTTGTTTTTAATACTTTATATATTCTTAAATTTTGTTCATATTCACGGAGTTAGGTCCAGAAGTCATGAGGCTTATAAAAGCAAATTCGCTTGAAGCTCAAAATGTTGATGACTGACAGCACATTCTGGTCCAGAGCTTCTTTTTTCTATCAAATCATTAACTGCCTGCATGGACACACATGTGATTTACAAGGCTGAAAGTGCAAAGGTAAAGTCCTTGAACACTTGAGTACAGAAAAGAAGTGGATTAAGCTGTCCTGAGCCTCTCTGAGAACAAAAGTTCTTTCAGTGCCTGCTCTTATTCTGCCTTCACCATTCACCCTTCAGAATGGAATCTAAGCTCTCTCTATTTAGCTGCCAGCCATGCTTCTGTAGCTACCAAAATGAGGATGGATCTATCCTATAATGTTTTAGTGTTTGAGTACCATTAATATATTCAGAAACAAAAAACGTTTTATTACTAAAGAACCCTTCATTTATGTCTAAATTGAAAGAAAAGATAGAGTATTAACTTGTTAGTTCTTTAGACAAAAGAATTGAAATCATGAAACATGTTGGTAAATCACGTAAAAATATAATGGTTCATGTTATATCTTGTTATATAAATATCTCAATTATCAAATTAGAAGTTCAAAAAATCTTTATAGGTTTATAATAATTTTCTGAAAAAAAGCTACTTATTCAGTGTTAATTTAGTTTCAATTAAGTATAATTTCTGGCCAGGGTTTGAATAAACTGAAGACTTATTCAGATTATATGATATATCAAAACACGGACACATATGCATGTATCTGTGGAAGAATCTCAAAAAGATTTATCACTTTAAGAAATCTTTCATCAAGCATGATTCAGTACATACCACCACACATGTGAAAAAGAAACCAAAGTTTAAAAATTACTATTAGCATTATAAAAACATATCAGACTCATTTTTTCTTATTGTATTGTTATTTTTTTCTCTCTTTGCCAAAAATATATTTTTAATGCATAGTATGGCTTTCTCCATTCACTAAGGAATTTAAGTGAATTTGCTGGCAAAGCTCTGTCAATGAACCCATAAATTAAAAGAAACATTGCAACATATAATGAATTCATTTTTGGTGGAGAATAGGTAATTATTAGCATCTTTCCCAAACATGTCCTAACTGACATAAAAGAAATATAATATTCCATTTGAGATAATATCTCAAATGTTGCTTGAAACATTAAGTGTGTTGCATGAAAAGAGTTCATCTCATCAAAATGATATAAGGCTTACCACAATTGTAATCATTACTTTTAATTACCCAAGAATTATAGAGTAAGTATACCACATGTCTGTCTGCCAAAGCAGCATATCATTATTTAATTTTTAAACAAGTGATCTTGAAAAAGAATCTAAAATTAGATAAGAGTTTGTAGACTCTGAAAAGAAATTATTTTTATAGTGAGAAATAATTTTGGGTCTAAACCTGTAGTGTACCTTATGTAATAAGGCTCAGATAGAACATTCACACCTTATAATTTGATAATGTAAAATAATAGCATTCAATTTCAGTATATATTGTTACCATACATTCACTTGAGATTACAAAAGAACAGACAATTGCTTTAATAGCACGATTATGTTGATTATACTTCCAAAAATAGCACATTACTTGATCTGAGTAACTTGAGCAATAACATCAAGAGTAGAAGTACTTCAGTGGAAAAAAACAGGCAGGAGGCAAATGAGGGCACAGGGCTATAGTTAGGGTGACACTAAGGGTAAAGTTCAAGCAGACACAGAAGTAGAGGAGGCATGGCTGGGAAATAGGGGAAAATGAGAGGGGGTTAACAAAGAATTTGTGGGTTCACCTGGAAATAACTGTCAGGTTTAACACTCTCTAAAGAGAAAAATGCATTAGCAATTTAAGTAAAAACACACAAACACACACATATATACACATACACACATACACACACAAAAAACTCCAGTGTTGAAATTTGTTAAAATAATTTTAGCAAGGTTTTGTTAAAATAATCATACACAAAATCCAACCCAAATAGACAGACAAGCAACTAAACTCCTTTGGATTTTATCAAGGGTTCTCTATTGTGTTTATTTTTTTCTAAAATTCTGTCACAGAAATTCTACTTTAACTCCTGTGCACCAAAACTATCATCTCTCCTCTTCTGGACTCAGAGCCACACTCTACCTAGAAAAGACCCACATCCTTCTCTACACCTCCATATTTTCTATCTCCTCCTACCAGACAACAACAAACTGCTCAGATCCCTTTCCACGTGAAGGGCCCAAATAAGTCCTCCACACATTGCTCTTTTATTATCTCCTGACAAAGACCTTTCTCTAGTTGCTCTAGGAAATCAAACCTGCGCATCATGAATCCTTCCAATGACCAAGACTGAAAACAAAGGCCAGCGTTGTTTGGTGGGGCTTTCTCAATTTCAATGTCTAGTAAAAGTACCAAATACTTCCTTATAATTCTGGTATTAGTCAAATTAGACATTAAAACAATTTAATTTTTTTTTCCAAATCCTCGATCTATTTGTATCTTAAAAAAGTGTGTCATATTTTCTAAAAAAGTGAATCAGGAGCTAACAGTTTTCCACTAGGGAAACAGAAATATGTATGGAATGTTTTGTAAAATGTTGTGAAAAGTGAAAATTAAATGGAAATCTCCTCTGTATAGTGACTAAACCCAAGACTATCTGAAGGTTTTTGCCTATTAGGATGAGGGGTCCTTATCGTTCAAAATGAAAGTTGGATATGATACCATTAAGAAAGCATTATAAAGATTAGGGGTCAGCAAGTCTCAAAGATCAAAATTTTATTCCCATTATTGATAACAAGTTTCTAATTATTGCAGAAAGGGTTCTGTTTATTCTTGATTTCATTTGCCATGGTATAGATCAAAGGAAATAGTTGCGCATTTCTTAAAAGTGTTGGAGGAGGTAAAATAGTTTTATTTTTTTTTCAAAATACTTTGAAGTTTAAAGCCTTTATTGTGTGCTTTCCTACCTTGATGACATAGAAATGCGTTGTTTAACAACAGGCTATAAGCATTAGAAAGCAAAATCTAATTTCAGAATTATATGTTAAATTAGTTTGAGGTGTCAGAATTACATCTGAGTCCAGAGAGCTCATGTATTTAAGGTTTAAAAAGAAAAATAAATGTGCTATTTCTTGAAGGACACAGCGGGACAAGTTCCTCAGACTAAACGACAAAAGACCTGGGTTCTGCTGCTATTCTGGACTTGACACAGCCTTTGACATTCAGTTCCTTCATTTGAGAAAGTAGGAAGAAAAATATCTTCCCCATTGTGGAGGCTGATGTACGATCATCAACCTAAATAACAGAAATAGAATCACTTTGTGAGGATCAAGGGCTCTAAAAACACAAATGATTTTTTTCTCCATTGAAAAAAAATTAATTACTTCCTCTTTTGCTGTCCAGAAACAAAAATGCTGCTTTATAATATTACAGAACTTACCCTGTGCCTGTGGTGGAGAAGAGTACACAGTTTGTGACTGTGTAGCTATGTATAGAACAGAGTTCCTTTGACAAAGACCTCATGTCTTCTGAACCTGATAAAGCCCCTTTCATAGAAAAAAAAGTGCCCAGGAAAGAGTTACTGTTTGCATAAATAGAATGATTAATGAATAAATCAATAAGATAAAAAAATATTATTAAAGGGTAAAAAGCAGCCACTCGTTAAGAAATTTAGAGACTTTTCATTGAAAACCCTTATTTGATTTATCTCACTTGGGAAACTGTCATCAGTGAGGATTTAGTAAACAATCAACAACTAGCCCATGGAAAACTTCCCTTCCCACCCATAATAGGAGGCCTTATCTGAATCACTTGCCAATTTTCATGTGTAAATATTTCTATATGGCTATATGAAACTATCAACAGGACTCCATTTAACAGAGAGTAGCCTCTCTACAGATTTGCAGAGAATACTCTTACTAGACATACAGAACAGTTCTATTATTCATTGTCCCTCCTTGAAGTGGCTTCAACCATAAACCCACCTTTGACTCTATTTTCTTTCCTGGATTGAAAACGTGTTGATACGATCAGGTGGAGTAAAGCTAACTTTGGACCTTAAATGGTGTATGAAATCTCAGAGGACTGGAGTTAAAACCAGACAAATTTTAAAGAAAAGTTAATAAGACAAATAATTTCATTAGTTACTAGAATTTGTGTAAAGTTTTTTGAGACTACTTAGTTTGGCTCAAAGACGAAAAAGAAAAGGAGTATGGATATCTTACTTACTCGATTGTGTTTCTGTCCACTTTTCCTGTCATGTTAATGCCATAGAACTGCTGCATGGCAGCTAGGGCGGACTGCATGGTCTCTGCAGAGCGCAGCACCGACATTCTGGGGTCAGTTGGTGGGAGGTAGCCGTACTTTTGTAACCAAACCTGCAATAACAAGTACAGTTCCTTTTAGATCAACTTTACAATTTGACAATAATATTCTGGTCTTGATTTATTTCTGTAATAGACAGATAAACTTTATTTCATCTATAAGAAGATACTTTGTTTGATTTCTACATAAATAATTTTAATATATATTTAGTAGTTGTGGCTCTTTCTAACATACCTACAAATTCCAATTGAAAACAAATTAACCATTTCTTGAACGCTTATAGCATATAAAGTAGTACAGTAAACAACGGGAGAAAAATAAGATCATCCCTGCATTCCAGGGCCTTAACATGCCAAAATCAAGAACATACTTTTTCTATAATGTACATATCTTTGCTAGAAGGGGCAGCTAATGTATATATACAACATCTAAAAAACTGTTTGCCTGAACTATTGACCAGTGGCTACAGTTGTGATAAGTAGCGTCTTTACAGATAAACCATGTTATTCCATCATAAAACTTTGCATGTAAGTTTATTGTAGCCAGGTCTATACAATTATAGCCAGGTACCTCCAAGGATAGAAAACTTTTTCAAGGAAACACTGTTTCTTTCTCTCTCTCCTTCCTTCCTTCCTCCCTCCCTTCCTTCCTTCCTTCCTTCCGATTAACTTCAGTCAAAATCACATAAGTAGCCAAACTTTGCACATATTTCTCAAATGCTGTTATCTCATTGTGTATGTATAGACCTCTCTAAGGGTCTCTTGATTTGCATCTCCCCCTTCCCTAGTGAGGAGACCTGAGAGGATGGTGAGATAAAGAAATCAGAGTAGATTTCATATCCTACGAATGACTGGGGTAGAAATTCAAACTTACTAAAAATTAGATTTTAAAAGTAATAGAAAACTCAGGACATTTTCTAAAAGAAATAAACGTCCACCCAGGAGCAGATAATCTTTAGTTTTATAACTCTGTGCATTCCTTTTAAATGCTCAACTCACACCCCAGCCTACTGTCTTTTCCCTCAGTCTTCCTGCAGGCCCTAGGATTTACTGAAGTGCCACAAACTACCTGTCAAATTGATAAGAACCAAGTAGTTACAATACTACTTAGTGGAAGATATTCATCTGTGTGTTTCTTTCCCTTCCAAGGTCTATTTGTCACATAAAAATGATCCTATGGAATTTCAGCTTTTCTCTGAAAACTGATATTCTTCCTTTGTAAAGTTATAACCATAACACAGGAAGAGTTATTTCCCCAGTGAAAATAAATAACAAAGAAACTAAATTTCATTGTAAGAGCCAATATTAAATATATCAAAATTTCAAAATGTATAACACAAAATATCTAAAAATGCAGTATCAAGAATTAACCCCTTGAAAATAAATACATCCTAAAAGTATTTAAGAGATATCAAGAAAGTTTACCAGTGAAACCCAATCTAGTAAACTCATCTCCCACACAGGAAAAGCAGGCTAAGGTAGTCACTTCTCCTCTGGAATGAACAGGCTGCCAAGGAAAACAGTATGTTGTTACCTAGTTAATACTGGTGCAGTCTCAAACAGATTCCATTATATTTCTGAATGAAGGAGGCAGGCAGTAATATTATTTATGAAATTTAATACCTATAGTCATGTAATTTCTCAAAATTGAAAGATTTTAATAATGTGCATGTGTCAATATTCTTAAACAATAATTTTTTTCCATAACAGTTTGCATTCATTTCTTACTTGTGGGAGAGCTGACTTGTTGCTAGGTTACTGCTGGGTGCTAAGTTACTGGCAATTATGTTTATGAGGACAGTAAAGAGAAAACCATTAATAATAAACCCTTTGATTTATATACACAGAAAATATGAAAATACATAATTGTTAAGTACATTATGAAAAAATAACATGTTCTAGAAAATACATATTTGATTTATTCCTTAGCCTTCCAAACAAATGATTTCAAATAATATAAAAAATGAATTTTGATTTTTTTCAAGTTCTATTTCACATTATGTTGTTTATCACGAGAGACTATTTTTCAAAATGAATGAGAAGTGGGCAGTTCTTTTTAATTGTAAAATAACAGGAAAGCTATAAGATCTACAGTTTTTATGGTTAAAAGTTTGTTTACTGGCTAACAACCAATGTCATAATTTTGGCATCATAATTTTGTCATGATGACAAAAGGAAAATTTCTACTAAAAATTTCTACTTTAGTAGAAAATTTCTATTAAAGTACAAATATAATCTTATTTGAAAAATGATTTACAATGTAGTATTTGTTTACCTTACCTCTTCTAATTTTCTACTATTCAGGGATAATAATTTGGCATGTAATCTTTCTATCACTTTCTATTCAGAGAAATTTAAAGATATACACATGGGTATGTGTATATGTACACATATGCACATATATATATATAATATATAATAGACTTTACTATAGACATCAATTCTTATTTGAAATATATCATGGTTTTCAACATTGTTTAAGTACTGCCAGTCATAGATGATTAGAAATGCTAAATCTGTCCTTTTTTTTGTTTTGTTTTATTGGGCTCACTGATGACAAGTGCATTTAAGAGCATTGAAAAATTATTAAGGGACAAATAAATTTCTTTAAGGAAAACCTTGACTTATGGTAGTACCTGTGACTTACTCCATCCCATTGCCACCAGTACAAATAACCTTGGTACCTCAAAAGGAGCTACAAAATCTAACCCTGAATTACTGCCTGTGTCACTAACTCCTTCAAATATCTTGCTACCTTGTGGACAAAACCAATTTCCTGCTCTTAGTGGTTATTCAATTGAAGGAACAACCAGAATACTGCTGTTCTCAGCAGAGCAAAAAGATATATCAAACAATAAAAGTTAAAGAGTTAAATATTAAATGCTGTGCCAGTAGATATTGCCATTACTGAACTGAAGTGTTAGGGAGTAGCCGACACACAAAATTTCAGCAAAGTCCACTAAAGAAACATCTTTGTCAATAATATTTCATGTACTGTACTGCAAAAACCCACAGGAATTGTCTGTCATTTACAAACACATATCAAATAGCATCCTGAAAAATAGTTATAAAAAAGCAGATGTTAGTAATTCATATAATTAGGGTACATGAAAGTACTTTATTAAATTTTATTTAAAAAATTTCTTTAGTGTTTGAAGATAATCAGTTTGCCAATGCCTTTATATAAAGCTACCGTATTCATTTACTGAGATAAATCACATATGCGAGAACAATTTAAAAATTTTCCTCTGACATGATAAATATAGAGAGAACACATTTTATAATGACGACTCTGAATAATTGCAAAGTGCTCCGACATCCTTCAAAATAAAATAAATAAGCATATGTGATTTAATTACTAAATTTATTAGGGTTGGAAAGGATGCATTTTAGCAATTATAGAAATCACTGGAGGGAAATATAAGGAGAGATGGTTTGGAAATTTTATTTAACCTAAGTTAAATATGTAAATATGTTAAATATGTAAGTCCACAATGCCCATTTGAGGCTAGCCTGTTATTTCAGGTTGGGATGGTGAACTTCATTTCCAGCTAAGATGTGCTGTGGCAAGTTCCTTGTACCCAGTTCCTATCATCTCAAGTATCATGCTCTCTATTGAAAGAAAGGGCAGTGGTGATAATGTTTATAGTACTTATTTAATACAAATTATTTCTGTTTACATGATCACATAAACATTTTTATTATTTTGGAATTTTTTTAAGAATTATTGACTTCATATTAAACTAATAGTGATAAAAATATTGAAATATATAATGATTAATATTTTGATATAATAACTGATTTTCTTGAAATACAACTGAAAGAATGCATTTTTAATAGCTAAGTTCTTGATGTTATAAAAAGTTAATTTCCTTTTACACAAATTCGTTAAATTCTATTATAAACTAAGACTAATACTAAAAATGGATTACTACTCAATTTTGTGGTATCATCAGCAAACTCAGCAAAAGCTTCAGGATTTTTTTCCCTGAAATAATATATATTCACTGGTTATAAAAAACAGCAGGATTTAGGGTCTACATTTTCCAGTCTGAAAAGAGACTATAAATATGAATTATAACTACCTATTAACCCAAAAATTAAACTGATGTAGAAGGAGTCATTTAGAATTGGTCAAATTGAAAATTCATAGAATAAGTTAACGAGGCAGAAATTAGCCTTTCTCTTCATTCAAAAATCTAAATGGGCTCTAAATCACCATCCCATCCCCACCATGAATGAATCAGTGTATAAAATTGCATATATAGAATTCAATTCATTTGGAAATTTTACTGTCTATTAAATGGCTTCTTAAGCTGGAAATAAAACAGTAGAAGGATCAAAAGCTATTCCATCAACCATCTCATCAATCAAGAGGCAACTGTTATTTGGTCAAGGAGACAGGAAACCAGCTGCCTTATTCATAAGTATAAGTCATTATGACCATCATGACCATACTTTTTTCTTCATTTTCCCCTCTCGACTTGAAAATCTCTCATTTATGAAAAAAATGAAACACTTAGATTGTAAAGGGAAGGGAGAGTTTTTCCACTCTGCATAAAAGTAAATTGTACTTTGTATTTAGCAATAATGGATGACATCCAGTGAATCCAGTGATTAAAACCAGTACCACTTTTCATTGCGATTCCATCATGTGTTGGTCTTTATTCTGGAAAGTTACAGAGGACTATAAGACTGCCTCCTTCTCTGTCTTTACTGGTTTCTCTTTGGTGTGTTTAGATTTTCTAAGTATGTTTACTCGCTCACCTATATAAAATATGACCAAAAAAGAAAAAGAACATATCACAACAAATAGCAAATAACTGTAGACTATGCATATGATACCACAATCTTCATGATGTTGACATAGAAATAAATAATTACCAAAAAATTACTCATAATAATCATTGTCATGATTTTACATTATATTATGATCACCTCACAAACCCCAAATGCTAAAGTCCCCTTCAAATCTGGGGACTGAAACCAGGATATAGCTCAACCACTGAGCTATATCCCTCTGCCCAGTTTTTAGTTTTTATTTTGAGACAGGA